GGTTTAGGTGACTTGGAAAACAAACAAATCCTGAGCCCTACCTATGGGATGGTTTCTATGTTTGCTAGCAGTGTTGGAATTGTACTGACAGTGAATGATGAGCATGAAGTTTGTTGGTCTAGACCAGCTCCCCATTTTTAGGGGTCATTCATCTGGAAATGAGGTGCTAATCTATGTTTAAGAACTGGACTTTTTTACCCTTTGTCTCCCTTTTCCTGTTTGAATTTTTCCCTCCCTTCATGCTCTGGCTTTGTGAGAACAGTACCATAGATGTGTATGGTGACTTGTATGTGAAAATGAGGAGGCAAATGAACTGTTCCGTGAACCTGATATGGTTAATTCTATCAGTGTACGGTGGGTATAAAATACCACTGCTCTGTTGTGGTTTGAGGTAATAGTGAATCGGGACCAAGTGAAGAGTCATTTCAAGGTATGGAGAACAAATAATGGGTCAAGATGGGATTAGTTATGTGAATTGTGCTATATTTATTTAGACTTGACAAACCTCTTGTAGAGTTTAATTTGTTTCTAACACAGATAGGAGAGGATCATTAAATGGTGGAAGGCAATCTGCTAGAAATTAGTTTCTAAGTGGGGACTTGAAGAAGAGAAGAGTCCAGGGTAATGAAGGAAGGAAGCTGTTCTTGACATAATCATTCCTAGCTCTTATGGTTCTTTTCAAAGCAGATAAGTATCATTATCTCAGATGGGGAAACTGAGTCACGGAGTAGCATGATTGCCAAAGGTCAGACAGCAGGTCAATGGAGAAGCTGAGAATAGAGATCTTCTGAGTCCCAGTCCAGTTTTCTAGCCACTAGGAAATACTGCTTCCCTTATAAAGAACATCATGGGAAAGGACAGGAAGGTGTGAGTGGACAGAGGCAGAATAAAGAGGGAGGAAATAGCTAAACAGATATTATACAAATGGTACAGTCTCATCTGATTCCAGCTAGCTATTTTCAGTTTGGTTCTTGAGATACAAATCACCACAGTTGTCTTTTTCAGTACTGGGCATGTCATGTTAGCTGGGGGATGTAATGAGTATTACAGGTCTCTTTACTCACAAACTGCCAGTGTCAAATTTGGGACGCTGACTTTCAGATTAAGAATGTTACATCCTACCAGAATCTTGTGCAACAGGAAAGTCATCAGGAAGAAAGGGCACTTCTGTAACCTCTCATCACCCTAGCTGACCTCCAGAAGCTAGAGTAAGAGGCTATGATGGTGACTGTACAGCCTTCTCTCCCCCAGAGCTAGGACTTGAGGAAAACCACTTTACCTTCAATTCTCCAGCCTCAAGATCAACAGCTGATTCAAAAGTAAGATTATAGGTAGATGAATCTTTATTTCCTTCCATCTTTGCAATAAAGTATTACCCTACAGTCTATTGCCCTTGAGCATCCACTGTCCATGTCCTATCAAGTACACAGAAGTCTACAGTACCAAATCTGGTTTCACTGGGTGAAGACAGACTGACCCGTTCCTTCTCCTCGTTCTACAACAATTAAATAGCAGCACTGTCTGCTTGTTGCATAGTCACCATCTTTGCCAGCCGTAGAGCAGATGGTATCTTTACAGCCTTATGCTGTTTGGCAGGGCATGAGGTTATTTATGCTCCGTTTAAGAATAATTTGCCTTGTCCCCCTTTTGCTCTTGTTGCTGAGAGAACAGGTTGTGATTCTTAATCCTTACATGCTTTCTAGTGAAGGGACACTGACAAGTTGGAAGGGCTTGACAGCTAGGGAAAGGCACAGGATCTTGCAGGTCAGCTAGGCAGCATGAGGAGTACTTAGAGTAGGACCAGTGATAAGGCTCAGCAGCTGGAAGGGGCTCTGGTGGCCTCTGGGTAGGATTAGCAGCTAGGAAGTGAGTGACGCTTTGGGGCGATGCTGCAGAATTAGACACTGGTTAGTACCTAAGGAGAGATCAGATTTACACACACAAATGCTTATCTGCTGTGCTCAGACGTGAATGAGTATGGCCTATATTTTGGTGCCTAACTCCCCCCGCTTTTGTAATACAAGAATGCTTTTTACTGCTACAATGTATGTTTGAATCCAGCCCAGCAATTCCCTGATGTTGTTCCTAAGAACTGTTTAAGGAGCCCTCATCTTTGCAAGTGGACAGGTGTCCACACCAGTGTTGGCAATATCAGCAGAAGGGCCTAGGTCTGAATGACTATGAAATGGTAGAAGTGTTGAATAAACACTTACATATTTAAGTAAAAAACAGATGATGCAGTCATGTCATATGATGAAACTTTCCTTTCCCATAAAACTCCAGAGGGTATAAAACAGCAACTTCTAAAATCAGAAATTTAAAATCTAAATACTTTGCAGCCAACAAAAATAAACAAACTGGCCGAGGAGCTCTTTGGAAAAGTTATATTGGTTTTTCAGTGAATGCTGGGATACTGTGGAAGTTCCAGAAAGCTAATGTTATGCCAATACTGTAACGGGGTAAAGAGGATGACCTGGCTAATTACAATCCTGTCAGCCTGGCATTGATCCTGGGCTGTTTAATAAGGGATGTTAATTAATGCACATTGGCATGGTTTCTCAAAAATAGAGCATTTCAAACCAACTGCATTTTTTAGACTACAAATTTTGCTGATAAAGGTGATAGCTCATTTTTAAAACATTTAATGTGTGCCCCCATTAATTTTGTACCATTCTAGATTTGTAATCAATGTCAGAGGATACCAAGTCACATGCCCTACAGCAGTCTAAGAATAGTATGTCAGCGCTATCTGACTGGTCTCAAAACATAAATGTAAATGGGGAATCACTGAGCAGGTATGTTTCCGGTGAGGTCTTATAGGTCTATGCTAGTCAATATTTTTATCAATGGCCAGGAAGAAGAAAAAATCAGCACTGGCAAAGTCTGCAAATTACAGAAATATTTGGGGAGTGATTAAATAATGAAGAGAACAGATGACACTAATCTGGATTGATTAGTCAGCAGGTCACTAGCAACCAAGGTATTTTAACACAACCAGCTATGAAGTTATTCATGTAGGAATAAAGAATGCAGACAGGGGGGAGTAGCCTAGAAAGCAGTGATTTGGAAACAGATTTGGAATGATTAGAAGAGATGCCTTTACAATGATAAAAAGATCAAATTCTTTGGGTCAACTTTAATAAAGAAAAGATTAAGGCTATGTCTAGACTTCAAGCAGTACTTTCGAAAAAGCAAGCCACTTTTTGAAAGAGCACCCAGGCAGTCTGGATGCTCTCTTTCGAAAAAGCCCAGTTTGCATTCAAGAACGCCTTTTTTCAAAAGAGCAGTTTTGAAAAAAGGCGTTCTTCCTCGTGAAATGAGTACCACCGTCGAAAGAAAAACCGCATTCTTTTGATTTAATTTTGAAAGAACACGGCTGTAGTCTAGACGCAGGTGAAGTTTTCGAAAAAACCCTGCAGTCTAGACACAGCCTAAGAGATTCAAGCCTGAGCCTAGATGTCTACATTGCAATTTTATATTCCCACAGCCTGAGTGCTGCAGGTCCCATTCTGATATGGGCCAGCCCTCTGTGTTTTGTTGCAGTGAAGACATAACCATCATATCACAGCTAAATTACAAGGTGCAAGAAATTGAGCATGACTAATAATATATTTAAAGGAAGCAGTGAATGCCAGGAGTTAAGTCAACACCATTCCAGACAGGGTAGGGTCTTACAGATTGTTATAAGAAGCCAAAATACTGTGTCTATTCAGTCCATGATGTTTAGTGTCTTTACACAGCTCTGGACTCAACCTATAATGATGATTATACATTAAACTGTTTCAGCTCTTCCAATTTGCCCATACTTCTCCTCTGATACAAGGAAAACATTTGTAACAATTAACTTCTCCATCTTTTACAGCTGCTTGTTGGAAATGGTAGGGCAGCTTGTTTTTTCTGAAGCCTTTCTTGGCATCCTTCCTAGGCTATAACTGCATTTTGATACCTGCCCTCTATTCTCAAGAACACTGCTTTGGTGCTCACAGGCACTAGCAAGACCAGCAGGCTAGAGTAAGAATCTCTTTGGCTACGTCTAGACTGGCCCCTTCTCCGGAAGAGGCATGCAAAGCAGGCAAGCCAGAATAGGGAAATCTGCGGGGGATTTAAATATCCCCCACGGGATTTAAATAAACATGGCCGCCGCTTTTTTCCAGCTTGGGGAAAAGCCGGAAAAGAGCGTCTAGACTGGCGCGATCCTCCGGAATAAAGTCCTTTTCCAGAGGATCTCTTATTCCTACTTGCAAGTAGGAATCCTTGCAAGTAGGAATAAGAGATCCTCCGGAAAAGGGCTTTATTCCGGAGGATCGCACCAGTCTAGACGCTCTTTTCCGGCTTTTCCCCAAGCCAGAAAAAAGCGGCGGCCATGTTTATTTAAATCCCGCCCGTTTTTCCCTATTCTGACTTGCCTGCTTTGCATGCCTCTTCCGGAGAAGGGGCCAGTCTAGACGTAGCCTTTTTGTTTTTTGCCACCGTGGGGTTGGTTCTGCCAGCATTGTAGGGCAGCAGTCATATCAGTAGTCTACACTGCACCCTTAGCTCACGATAAGCTGTGCAAATTGCACTATGTAAACTTTGTGTAGCTTATTTTGAGTGTATTTCAAAAACAACTGTTCCAAAATGCCCCTTAACTCCATGGAACAAGGGATACCAGGATGTCGGAATAAGCTGCCCGCTATTTCAAAATAGCAGGCTGCTTCAATGGATGCAGAATAGCAATCCCAAAATAACTCTGCAGTATTGACATACCCTAGAGAATAGCAAGAGAGGAGTGGCTTTTTTTTTTTTTTTTTAAAGAGCTGCAGAAGTAAGTAGTTCTTAGACTAAATAAGGAGAGAGTAGGGGAATTGGGTGAAGGAGAGGGGAAGACTAGTGTTATTCTACTTGTCTTAGGGTCATGAAGCAGGGAAAATGAGCTAGGCAGTCACTCATGTGCCATTAGCTTAATTTCCACCCCTCCCCCAAGCCATAAGTTTTGTTGCTTAAAAGGAACCCAACAGGTTTATTTTGCACTGTAGTGTCAGTTGGTTTTATTACTGGGCACAATACAATTTCATTTCCTTGTATATACAAGCCACAGCAACACAGACATTTCCTCTCCCCCCTCATTGTTAAAACCGTTAAACAAGACTAGTCCATGTGTTCAGTCGGTTTGAGAGTGATTCTACCATACCTTGCAATAGCAGCAGCTCTGTCACATACACTAATTAGCAGCAAGGAATCTGCTGAAGCTGATGTATTTAGTCCTATAGTGTTTCATCAGCTTCCGCCTCATCCAGCATTTGTCAGGACAGCTTTTTCTCCATATGTAAACCCAAGGTTTGGTAGAGGTCTCACTCCCATGTGCCATGCCCTGCATGGCATGAGCTGCACCACCAGCAGACAGACATTCCCCACCCACTTAAAGAAATATCTTACTACACATGACAATAAAATACATTTCAAGTTGCAAAAGTAAGTGCATTGGTTCCATCCCTTTGAGACGTGTAAGGAGGTAGGGCTCATAAGAACGGATAGAGGCAAATTAATTATATTGCACAGGAGCCCCAGCACGATACTTAATTCAGGCTACTGTCCTGGAGGTGGCAGAGGGGAGGTCTAATTTGATACTAAGCATATACTTGTCCTCACCATTGTACAACTGGCTTTGTCACTGAGGTAGAGTGACAGTTATACTGTGAAACAACACTGCAGTCAAGTCCTGCTCAACTGGTTTCCAAAATAAAAGTACACTGAAGAGGACAGCATTATTTTGCTAAAAGAAGAGTGAACACTATGCCGTTTATATTTGAATATCACAGAACTCAACCAGCAAAGAGACTAGGAATGGTCATCGTGTTTTGACAGGCAGAGAGTGTGGCACCTCATTTGCTTGTAACAGTTTTCCTCCCCGCCCCCAAAAAAAGCTACTTGCTCACTGTCCTGCTTATGTCTCCCCTAGTCCAATGTATTTTGTCCTCGTTTTCCTTCCTTCTCATGTCTTTGCCTTTTTCAAATTAAAACTCCTCTCATTTCAACCCTCAGACAGGAGTCATGTTCACACCTCGATTAAGGGCTCCTCAGCATGGCATAGGCAGGGCAAGATGGAAATAAGGGACTCCTCGATGGAAAACAAATGTTCATCCTCCACCTGGGGACAGAAGTAGCGCATGAAGTCAGCTAGCCGCAGCAGATACTCTATGTTGTGTCCAGAGCGACCACTCGAGACAATGATCTGGGCTGCAATGTCCTCCTCAGATGCTGGGCCAAGGTAGCTGGGGTTCTGAGGTGTAGCAATGTAAACTAGGGCCAGGATGGGTTCATCAGCCTCTTTATCTTGGGGGTGGAATGTCACTAGTTTGGTGTCATAGCCACCCAGGACTGCTTCTCGCACGTTCAAGTACTGGAGTGATGCAGCAATCTGCTCTCCACGCACCTCATAGGCAACACCCCACGTGCATCCCTGAAATTACAAGTGAAGGTTTTGACTTTACTGTGCAACAAATCCATCAGCATTTCCTAGAACATAACACAATAGCCATACTGGGTCAGACCAAGGGTCCATCTAGCCCAGTATCTTGTCTGCCGACAGTGGCCAGTGCCAGGTGCCCCAGAGGGGTGGGCCAAAGACAATGATCAAGCAATTTGTCTCCTGCCATCCTTCTCCAGCCTCTGACAAACAGAGGCCAGAGACACCATTCCTTACCCCCGGCTAATAGCCTTTTATCGACCTAACCACCATGAATTTATCTAGCTCTTTAAACTGTTATAGGCCTAGCCTTCACAGCCTCCTTTGGCAAGGAGTTCCACAGGTCGACTGTGCGCTGTGTGAAGAACAACTTTAGTTTTAAACCTGCTATCCATTAATTTCATTTGGTGTCCTCTAGTTCTTATATTATAGGAACTAGTAAATAACTTTATTCACCCTCTCCACATCACTCATGATTTTATATACCTCTATCATATGCCTTTGGTTTCAGACTGCACATTCACCTTGTCTAGCTAAACAATGGGAACAGGCCCCTGAAAAGAATTGGGCATCTGGGAAAGGATACCTCCTGATCCAGAGACAGGGAGCGAGGAAGACATGGTCTTCCTTTTCTGCTCTAAGTTGTCAGCAAGGAATAATCTGTCTTTCAAAGTCACTGAAGGTGCAAAATTCAGCTCTTGGACCTTGACACTGAAGAAAGAAAGAAAGAAAGAAACTGGCCCCAGAACACTTAACAGCCTTATATTCTTTTATGGGGCAAAATGGCTGTCCACCTTCTGACTAGCTTACATTGGAGTATCTATTTTCATCCTTTAAGAGAAGGGATCAGGTTAATCCTTGGGAACAAGCCCCAAAAATCTGTCTGGTAATATGCATGATGAATTTGGTACAGCATATCCCATTTCACTTCAGCTACCAGATCTCTAGATTTAACTGTAATGTTCTTTGGCCTAATGGTTCAAAGTAGTGCCGCACTTCCCTCATTTCCAGCTGACTAATGCAGTCAGCCCAAAAGAGCATAGATGAATGTAAGAATTCCAGGAAGGCTGTGACATTGACTTATACTAACCCCCACAATTGTTTCCCCAGAGTTTTACCATCCTTACAGAGTACAGTTACTGCTGTCACATAGTTAATGGAGAGGTTAAGTAGCTACTGAAATAGTCTAGAAACCTTACAGTGGGAGTAATCCAACTGAACCCATACAAACAAGCCTGAAAATAACAGCTATGGGCTGAATGATTACACTGGACTAGAAGCTAGATGTAGATACTTACATCATAGTCTTCCTGGAGGGTAACCACTCGGCCAGGCTAGACAGGGAGAGAAACATCATTTTAGAAACCAGCCCCACTACAGAGAGGATAGGAGGATACAGCCCTGCTGACACCAACTGCAGCACCACGTACCATCCCCGCACGGCAAGTCCCTGCGGATGCCAGCGGCAGGGTACCACTCTCAGACAGGGCATGGGCTGTGCCAGGCGGTACAGGGGGTGGGAGGCAGGGTTTGTCCGTGGCAGGTTTGCAAACAGCCTGACTCCTGGGGAGGGAGCCTGGGCAGGTGCCTTTGCCGGTACCAAGGGCCGCTTGCCCCCCTACAGGGCTCTAGCCACCCCGCCGGGCACCGGCTCGCCGTGTGCCCAGGGCAGGGAGGGGCCCGTGGGGGGGTATTTCCGTGGCCCCTTGGCAAGCCCCGGGGATTCACCCGCAGCGTGACCCCCCCCCCCCTTTACCATCTTCTCGCTGCCGCGGTGGAAGGTGTCCCCCTGCCAGAAGCGGCGGCTGTAGCCGCGGATGAAGCCCACGCGCCGCGCGCTGAACTCGAAGCCGGGTCTCCACACCAGCGAGCCGTAGCCGAAGATCCACAGGGGCGGTTTCTGCTCCTCCGGCGCCGGGCGCGCGGCGGGCGGGTCCCGCTTCCTGGCCCCCGCGGCACGAGCGCAGCGGGCTCGCGAGGCTGCTGTCCAGGGGCAGGGTGAGCGTCACGCGCGACTGGAACCAGGCGGCTGAGCCAAGCACCGGCAGCCCCAGGCCTTTAAACCCCGGCCGGCGGCAAGCCCCGCCCACCTGTCACGCCGAGGTGCGCTAGGCAGGGGCTCGTTGTCGTAGCTTCCAATCAGCGTCCCCGCTTCGGGCTTCGAGACCTGTGATTGGGAGGAAGCACCGTCAGTCCCGGGCGGAGCTCGCTCGCTGATTGGTGGAGGGCTGGCTCCGGCATCCCTCTC